ATACTGTCACCCATAAATTAGAAAGGGTTTATACTTCGTATCATTTATGTGACACGTCGTATAAGTTGCATTTTAGTCTGAAAGGTGTTGGATTAAATTCCTTAAGCCGATGAGAGGTTAAATCCTTGCTCAGAAGCTGTTAAGTATTCAGGTTTTTGCTTCCATGTCTGGATTAATTCTCTTCGTTAGAAAATGCGTTAATTCTATGTTGCAACAGTTTTAGGAATTCAAGGAAATTATTCTGTTTATGCTGGTACTTAAGCGACCAGGAGTTTTGGTTTGTTATTTATTCGGCTTTAACAAACTCGTTGTTATGAATATTTTCGGAGGAAATTTCCTCATTTTCTGTATTAAAAGTTTGAAAGAAAATGTGTGCGGAAACGATTTTAGTGAGTTCGTGAATTATAGAATAATGTCTGAGCTGTTGTTTCATAAGTTACTGCAAACGTAATTATTGGATTTAATTTTATTCGCCTACAGTTTTGAAAACTGTTTGAAATTTTATCGGGATTGATTGGTTTTTCAAGGGATATTCAGATTTTTCATGGATATTTGCTTTTGCTTAGTTCAGAAATTTTACTTCTTCGTTACTTCAGGTATGAATATTCTTCGTGATGATATGTTTTATTATATCATTTTATACAAAAAGGAATTTAAAACTAACTTGTAATAAATATTGCATTTTGCTCATGCTTATATTATAGCGGTTATCACATACAGTTAGCAGCTGCAAGTTACATACGCCGAATCCTAAGTACAACATAGTTAATTTTTATGGATTTCTGGGTACTTACGTATTATCGCAAACATCTTAGTAGAAGTAGCTAAATTTTCCAAAAGTGGCGAACTCTGGCACCCATGCTCATAACAATCATTTCAGTCAAGCAACACCGCCATTTTCGTATGTGTTCTAGTTTAAGCTTTAGTTTTAATATATGAGTTTGTGGAATTCGCCAGAAATGAAAGAAACTACGGTAAAATTTCGTTAAAATTTACAGAATTTTGCTGAAAATTTTCTAAAGGGAACAAACAACAAGGAAATCCGTTTTCTAGATAGCCGATGTTGCCGAAGACCGCACGAAGCCGAGTCTCCGCGATTATCTGATGTTTTTGTAAGTGAAAACAGATCGCTGTGTACTTCGGGAGAAGAGTAACGCAAAAAAAAAAAAAAAAAAAAAAAAAAAAAAAAAAAAAAAAAAATCTGAAATGTTTCAGATTTTAAATTACGTCCAAAGGGGCGTTTTTTAACATTTTGTGTGTTACCTTTCTTTATTAAATATAATGTTCCACGCACTTAAACCATAAGATCCAGTGCAACAGCAATATCGCAAAATAGTTTTAAAACGAGCATATCTTTAGAATTTCCGATACAGAGACTCACGCGCTGGAGATAAAAATTTTTTTTCTGCACAACGTTGCCATTGCTCGCTTTGAAATCCTTGAGTTTGTTAATCAAAAATTCGTCAAAGTTTCAAAAAATTGGAAATCGATCATAAAACAAATTTCAAATTTCAAATTTGGTCTTCCACATGCTCATATTCGTTGGAGGATTACGTTATTCAAAATTCGATGACTCTATGTACCGTTATTTTATGACAATGTGAGAAATATACATATATTTACGCAGATTTTCATTATTTAATTTCTTCAAATATAATGCAGGACTTTAACATTTTATGGCAACAGTTTGAAAAGTGAACCGACATTTATCCGTCCGACGCAAAATGCGAAAACGAAACTAATAGTCCTTCGGGATTCAAATCCCTTTGGACTAATAAAATAACAAAATGATTTGAAAAAGAAAGTGTTTTATTTTTTAGCGTGTGACATAATACTTATATTATAATAAATCAAATTTGTATTATAAATTGCTGAAATAAATTTTTATTTCTATGTTGATATTGTTTACCAAACTTACTATAAATATCGAAAGTCTGGGAGTCTTTCAAAAAAAAAAAAAAAAAAAAAAAAAAAAAAAGAAGGAGCGCAAACCGCCATTTTGCACATGCTAACTGACTTTTACATTTTTATCCGTAAAAAATCGCCAAATTGCGGCAAGATGGTTGAGATAGTAGGTAACTACTTATTTCTGTTCTGAAAGATTTTATAGACTTTTAAGGGGACTCATACACCTTAAAACCCATAAGATGTTCGAATAGTTGACTGTTGCAAGAATTGGGATAACTTATTTATTTCAAAAGCAATTACTACCAACGTTTTACAGCTGACTACATAATATAGCTGCTTTCTGAAATAGTCATCAGAAAGTTTGTGTTGCCACAAATATTTTTATAATTTAATCCGCTTAACATTTTTCGTCACGTTTCCAACTTGCGCGCACAGTTTAAAACATTCTGTTTCAAAATTTAATTCAATATTTAATATATAGCTTTTATAACATTTGGAAACTACTGTGAACCTAAAATTCTAAAAATTTCATGTTGAATTTTTATTTTATTTTGAGTTAAGTTTATAAAATGTATTTTATTAACACAATTTTTAATGTTTTCGTCCATAAAATTTTTTATTATCAAAATATTCATCAGATTGTTGGTTCAGTTAGAAAGTAGTGCCCATATAAAGAATTGCATCAAATTTCAAGTATGTACCATTAGCCTTTTTAAAATATCATGCGCGCAAGGTGGAAATATGGCGAAATATTTTGTCACAAAGAGGATTAAATTACAAAAATATTTGTGGCAACACAAACTTTCTGGTTACTATTTTCCAAAGCAGCTGTATTATGTAGTCAGCTGTAAAAAGTTGGAAGTAATTGCTTTTAAAATAAATAAAATATCTCAATTCTTGCAACAGTCACGTATTCGAAGATCATAAGGGGTTTAAGGTATATGAGTCCCCTTAAACGCGGTGACTGAAGTTAGCTCATTACCACTGGATTTAAGGATTGGTTCTCATCGTTTTCTTCAGCAAGCAGCGAAGTGTGTGTGTGTGTGTGTGCGGGGGTGGCTCATGCAAAGCTTTCCAGGCTTATCTGCCTAAGAGGAGAGATGTCCTCGTGGAGGACTTTCTTAGGGAAGCTGGTTCGTATATACGCTACACATTGAGGAAAACCTAAAAACGCCAATGCAACCAACTAGTTTTGCCAGGATTCGAAACCCGGACTGATCTACCAGTGTTCAGGGAGACATACGGGATCATGGTAGTAAGCTTCAGTGGTTTTCTTTATAGCCTGATCTTTAGCAAGCTGGATGATTCGCGTTCGAATCCTGGCTAGGGCATAATTGGCGTTGCACCTTTTTCGCTTCGAAAGCAATAGTAATTCCTGCAAATTTATTACAACTGATAATTATACTGATGTTCGTTGTTTTTTCAAAACATTAAAACGATTGATATTATAATTACTATTCTAAACGATATTGTTATAGTGAAACCACATTGGACAGAATTTTTAGTACACTTAAAATTTTTGCATACATATTTCAAATTTTTAAAATCTAAGTGTTCGTCTTCTTGAAAATAGAAGCAACCACTTCTTTATTTGCTATAATTTAAAATAAGATGTTTGAATAGGGGTTCATGGGAACAAAATGTTGGAGTTAAGTTTTACATAACTAAAAAGCCATGTTGCTCCCGAATGTTTGCTGCTTTTGGATTGTCGCATAGTTGATTTTACTTGCTTCCTGTTATAGAAACAATAACATCATTGAACATTTATTAAAACTTATGATTATACTGGATTTTATTCATTTAAAAGAATTACAAAGATTGCAATCATAATATTTATTTAAAATATTATGACGTTATATTAATTTGGGTATCCGCCGATAAAATCGCGGCAAAAACATCGCGGACGAAAACGTCGCAGAGAAAACAACGCAACGCGAAAACGTCGTGCTACAAAACATCGTGGGAGAAAACATCGCAAAGTGAAAACATCGTAGTTCTAAAACATCGTGGTACAAAACATCGTCGTCGAAAATAAAGCGGATCAAAAACTTCGCAGTTTGAAAACATCGTCGTCGAAAATATTGTGGTAAAAAAAAGTATCTACAAATCATCGCATGACGATAACATCGCAGACATGCTTTTTTCAGACTTTAATAACTGTAAATAGATATTCCCATAATAATTTGTGAGCGCAGGATAGAAAGAAGGATAATTTGTTTTTCATATTTTATATTAACTAATAAATTTTTGCTGAGAAAATAAGAAGGAAACTTAAGCGTAGAAAATTATGCAACTTATAGCACTTAATAGAATTTTAAACTGACATAATTAACAAAGACCATTAATAAATAATTTTTATAAAGTTTTTACTGTTAATTTTTCATAAAAAGTATAATCTATAAGTTGCATTTAATTTTCTATGCTTAAGTTTCGTTCTTACTTTTTCAGCAAAAATTTATTAGTTTAATACAAAATGTTAAAGTAAAAATTTTCCTTCTTTACATCTTGCGCTCACAAATCATTATGGGAATATCTATTTACAGTTATTAAAGACTGAAAAAAGCATGTCTGCGATGTTATCGTCATGCGATGATTTGTGGATACTTTATTTTTTACCACGATATTTTCGACGACGATGTTTTCAAACTGCGAAGTTTTTGATCCGCTTTATTTTCGACGACGATGTTTTGTACCACGATGTTTTAGAACTGCGATGTTTTCTCTTTGCGATGTTTTCTCCCACGATGTTCTGTAGCACGATGTTTTCGCGTTGCGTTGTTTTCTCTGCGACGTTTTCGTCCGCGATGTTTTCGGCTGTAACCATTAATTTGACATCACATCCTACAAAATTTGAATTAATTTAATTCTAAAGATTATAGGTCAGTCGCAGAGGCAACCATTTCATCATTTGCTCTGATTTCTGATTTAGTTACAGATCATATTTATCTGAACTGCTATGAATGAAATTATTTTTGAAGCATTTATTATTCATGTTAATAATATAAATTTCTCTGAGCTTAATTATTTCATCTCATGCTAAGATATGCCATCTTATAAGGTTTCAATTTGACTTATATTTTACTTTTCTTCAGGATGTCTCGACAAAGTAAGGCTCCACCTTCCTCCACAACAAGCACCACTGCTGTTCCTGGAGCTGTTGCCCAACAAGCTCAGCAGTATTTAGAACAAAATATAATGGCTTGGATGCAACCGAAACCACAAGGGCAGGTAAGAAGCAATTTTTGTAACATTGAAGACTATAGAGTTATTAAAAAAATGAACCGATTTCAAGGAACTATAAAATATTAAGAGAACTTCCGACCAGACAGAAAAGTATTCTAATCAGAAGAAAAACACGCCAAAGTGGAATTTAAAATTAGTAAAGAAACAACCTTGTATTCGGCCTAGATTTATACAAATAATAATAATAATAATAATTCTAGCGCAAACAGGCCCCTTCGCCAGAAGCGATGATTGCAGGACTGGAAAACAGTGAGCGTGACAGTCCAATTTATACCCTACTGCAGTAAAGCGAATAAGAAGGTAGCGCCATCTGTACGCAAATTTAGTAACGAAAATTGAAAAATGAAAAGTTCCATTTCATCCTTCTGTTAGTTATAAAATTGCACGAATTCTTCAGAAGTTCAAGTCATTTTCTCGTCTATGAATCAAATCCATGTTTCGTTTCTTAAAGATGCCTTTTCTGACTTTATTTCTTGTGAAATTTACGTCAGTGTGGTTTGAGATACATCGGCTAAAACTAAAACAGCGTTGAATTTTCGTATCAAAGCACTCGAATCTTATGTCTGAAAAGGCGAAACCAAGAAGTCTTCGATAGCTGATCATAGTTGGGAACTTAATAATAATTTTAACTTTGGGCCTGCAAAAATTATCTAAAAAGTTTCTTCCATTGGCAAATTAAATTTTAGTGAAGCTTTTCCCATTTACAAATAGATAGGTTGTGATTATATTTAGACATTAGGTCAAATCCAGTCCTTTCTAACACTTTTAAAATTATATTAACTTAATTTTTAAATTTTCGTTGCTAAATTTAACGACAGATGGCGTTACCTTCTTGCAAATACATATAAATTTACAATATTGTGAAACCTTTATATAGTTGAGATCTCGAAATATGACTTTCTTCTGAGCTGTTTTTAAGCTTATGCTTCTTCATACACTCTTACACAGAAAAAAACGACGCACCACGACACACCGAGAAAATATAAAGCAAATTGCATACAGGTTTCGACGGAGAATGAAAAATTTGACATTCCAATGAATGAACGGTTGTCGCTACAGCGCATCTGATCTGTGCAACTGGCAGGATATTTAAGAGGAGAAATTACGATTCCAGGTCATAAATTCTTCACGAATTTCATTCCGTGTACTCTGGTAGAGAGTAACTTTGCCTCTAAACAGGTGCGCCAACGATATGCGTAGATGTCAGAATTTGAGAGAGGTCATGTGGGCGAATAGCTCGACACTTTTGAGCAGGAGCGATGCCACTATTAGGTGATATTGGCAGGAATGGGTGAACCATGGCGCACCCAGCGTCAAGAAGGAAGCGGTAGGCCTAGAGAAACTACAGAACGTGAAGACCGTGCAATCGTCAGAGCGGCACTCACAGCCCCAGATGCATCATTATCATCGATTGCTAGTGCAATTAGTGCTTCAGTGACCGCAAGGACCATTCATAGACGACTCACAGAAAGAGGGCTGAGGTCACGGCGTCCCTTGCGCCCACTACCATTGACCTCTGTACAACGTCAAGCCCGTTTGTAGTGGTGTTGGGCTCATTCGCACTGGAATGTCACTGACTGGAGTAGAATAGTCTTCAGTGATGAGTTTCGCTTTAAACTGAACCTCGATGGCCAGCGAAGGCGAGTCTGGAGACGCCCCGGACAGCGGTGTGATACCAACCTGACTGTCTTCCGGCAGACAGGCCGACAACCAGGAGTGATGGTCTGGGGTGCCATTTCATTTCATAGTAGGACCCCTTTGGTTGTCATCCGTTGCAACCTTACAGCACAGCGGCACGTCGACGAAGTTCTAATGCCCGTTGTGCTGCCCTTCATGTCACGCCACCCTGGGCTTACATTTCAGAAAGATAATGCCCGCCCCCACACTGCACATGTTTCTGCTGCTTGTCTTAGTGCTTACCGAACATTACCTTGGCCAGCAAGGTCGTCGGATCTCTCTCCTGTTGAGCACGTTTGGAGCATTATGGGCAGGGCCCTCCAACCAGCTCGAGATGTTGACGATCTAACGCTCCAGTTGGACAGAATTTGGCACGATATCCCAGAGGAGGACATCCGCTTCCTCTATCAATCGATGCCATCATTGTGAAGCTCTATCACTTCAATAAAATCATCCAATTTTTCTCAAACTGTAACATTTGTTTTTCTATATTTCTACATCATTTCTACCGATTTTCGTCCCATTCGGATAACTCCTTCCTTGGTGGGTCGTTTTTTTTTAGTCCAAAGGGACTTGAGTCCCGAAGGACTATTAGTTTCGTTTTGGCATTTTGCGTCGGACGGATAAATGTCGGTTCACTTTTCAAACTGTTGCCACAAAATGTTAGAGTCCTGCATTATATTTGAAGAAAAATTAATAATGAAAATCTGCGTAAATGTATGTATATTTCTCACATTGTCATAAAAATAACGGTACATAGAGTCATCGAATTTTGAATAACGTAATCCTCCAACGAATATGAGCATGTGGAAGAGCAAATTTGAAATTTGAAATTTGTTTTATGATCGATTTCCTATTTTTTAAAACTTTGACGAATTTTTGATTAACAAACTCAAGGATTTCAAAGCGAGCAATGGCAACGTTGTGCAGAAAAAACATTTTTATCTCCAGCGCGTGAGTCTTTGTATCGGAAATTCTAAAGATATGCTCGTTTTAAAACTATTTTGCGATATTAGTGATTGCACTGGATCTTATGGTTTAAGTGCGAGGAACATGATATTTAATAAAGAAAGGTAACAAACAAAATGTTAAAAAACGCCCCTTTGGACGTAATTTAAAATCTGAAACATTTCAGATTTTTTTTTTTTTTTTTTTTTGTCTAAGCGTGTATATGCAGTTGTTTTCAGTTACATGTATTGTTTCACTAATGCATGTAATAAAGGTCAATTCAATAGACGGCATTTGCTCACGGTAAATTACTCTTTACTAGTAAAATGTTGATGAACAGTTACAAATTTCTATCACAATATCTTTTGTGCGATTATTCATTCCTCTACTGCAATGATGATTTTGAAATAAACTTGTGTTTATCCACTATGGCCTTAATAGGTGAAAGATGTGCTGAACGTCACATATAATTTTAAAAGTCAGGCTCATTTATAAAGCTTAATGGGAAATCTATTTCTTTATGTGTGGGATCTAGTCCTTTAGCTATCATACAATGTGACTAGATCTACTCGAGTGCTAATCGTTGCGACTTCTCGCAAAGACTTGGTGTAAAGATCAACACATCAGGGGAAGGGTGTAAAAGACTCTTTTACTGAACCCGATATTTTACAGATTTTACAGTACTTACAGTCACAGACCACTTGCGGTGCGAAACTTAAAAGATAACATAATACTAAATTGAAAGGTAAAGATTAGTGCAAGACTACACAATTCAGTTTAATCTAACAGGTCGGCTCAGAACCTATACCGGTAGGATAATAATTCGGCGGCAAGAATGCGGAGCCGATATTCAAGGTAACAGCTAGAAAAAATGACAACATGCACTCACAGTAGCGAAATCACGCTCTGAACAGAATTTTCGCTGTATCAATTTTTAAATACATTCGTTTAAATACATCCTGGCGAGGAAACGCGAAAGGAATGAGAAAAGACAGAAAAGGCTAACAAATTAAAATACCTATTATTAAAAACAAATCAAACCTTACATATGAATTGAAATTTATATGAAAAACATAAAAAATGTTTTTTATGTAGATGTGAATTCCGAATGCAGTGAATTGAAACTGTAGCAGTTTAAAGCCTTTGTGTGTGGAATAAAACTATTCTCCTGTTGCTACGAAAGGTGTTTTAATTTTATTACCAACTAAATCAAATCAGTTTTAAAATTTTCAACCATAGATGAAAGGAGTTTTCATTTGAACATGCAGCCATATTATAAAGTGGAGACGTCCATTGTTCGCAAGTGTTTTTAAACCATATATTCACAACATCTGTGTGTACAGATTACAAATATTTACTTACTGATGCGCTAGTAGTAATATAAATACATTATTGCGTTTTTTTCTTCTGACACCATTTGTTACGTTATTATTACGAGTGCAACTCACGATGCACTCGACGACACACAGAGCACAGCTCCCGACTCTTCGGTTCAGTCGTCCCGGAGCTCAACACGCTCCCTCGACGATGCTCTAACCGCGATATACGAGGAGACTCTTTCGATGCACTCGACGACTAACTCGACACTCGCTGCCCGGCTGTCAACTCGATCGTCTCCGCACGGACTAACTAGATGAGAGACATTCTATCTCGCACTCGACGAGGCCTACTCACTCGATACTAACCAACTCTCCGCGTACGAGCAGTTTTTATATAGCTTTTGGCTGGTGTTCGAGAACATTCTGGGCTAAACCGGTAAGAATTCGTTCCAGAAGGTTCTCCATCCGTCCATGGTATATCGCCAATTTTGTCGCCAAATGGGCGATTTCTCGCCAAATGTGGCAACTCTGCCTTTCTTGCTATTTTATGGAAACCATAAACTTGCTTTGCGTGGTAGCTACCTTACCGCGCCTTGACATTTCGTAACAATATAATAAAGTTTGGAAACATAAATGAATTCCATTAATTTACAAGAAGATTATGTTTAGAATTTTCTATATTGAAAAGGTTGAATATTGTGTGTATAGCCATTACTACGGCTTGGTAAGGATAAGATGCGATGAAACTCATACAAATATAATTTTAAAAATCAAGCTCATTTATAATGCTTAATATGAAATATGTTTCTTTCTGTGTGATATGTAGTCCTTTTGGCTATCATAGAATGTAACTGAATTTTCAAAGGTATTTCTCCGTCGTCTTAGCATACTTCGTGGTGTAGTGGTCAGCACATTTGGCGCGTAATCGAGAGGTCCGTGGTTCGAGTCCCGGCGAGGGCATTGCTCATTTTTCACATCTCCTGCTTTCAAAAAATACCTAATGTCTCTACAGTCTTAATTACTGAAATCTAGTAGAAACTG